CTTTGGGAAAATGTGCTAGCGTAGCAGCAACAGTTTATATTCCCGTTAGAAAAACTGCAAAGCCTCATTATGCTGAGAGTCTAACTTACACCTGTCTCCCCAACAATATGGGACCGACCTAAAGTGCCCACATACAGTGCACGATCTTCAATGCTTTATTGCCCAGTCATTTCTATTTTACCCCAATGAAAAATAAAAACCCATTACTAAGCAAAAGTCTCAGGAATTTTTATGAGACTGTAATGCTTCCAATTTATGTTGAAAAAGACCAAAATCCTCAAGCTGTCTGTGCTACTCCAGCCAGGGACGTGGAAGATGCTGCTGATGCAGTGCAGCACACGTGATCAAGACAGGGAAATGCTGCTCTGCTGGGACACCATCAAAAAAAAAAACCCCAAAAGGGAAGGTTTTCCTCTCACTTAGGATATAATGGAAAATTTCAGGCAAAAAAATACAGAATGAACACCAAATTTTCACAGGACAGCTGCAGAAGTCACATAAAATGTTTTAACTGATTTTCAGACCTTGATACTTTCTGCCCACAGCTTTCAGATGAGCTGCATTTTAGGAAGGGACACTCAGGGAACATCAGGCATCAGTGTAGACATTAATAGTAATAAACAGCTGAATATTCAAGTGTATCAGAATGAAGAATCCAATGTTTAAAGAGAAAATATTTTTCGTATTGCTATTCATGGGCAAAGATGAAGCCCGCCTCCAATAACCTTCGAAAACAGCAGCCAGCCCTGGGAGCCTGGCAGCTAGATTAATTTGAAATTCCTGGGGTGCCAATTACCAATACACAGAAGGGAGCGCTGCACTTCGCTACTCAGCTGTGCCAATGTTTGAAAGTTGTCTGTATCTGAGAAGCCACATTTTCCCTGCATTAGTCATTATGAGTACAAACAGGGGTTTTTTTCTTCTTCTTTCTCCCTTGACAGAAAACCCAGTGCTATTTTGAAGGCCTGCACACGTGCGTCCTGCCAGCAGATGAGCCAGCAAGCCCAGTGACAGTGTCTGGGCACTGAAGCCTTTCCAGGAGCTTGGGACCTGCCATCACTCACACCTGAAAAAAGGCTTCAGCAGTGCCATTCTGTGTTTGACTGACTGCAAACAGCTGGGGCACTGCTTCTGTTAGGAAGCTAACAGGTAATGCAAAAAAAAAAAGAAAAAAAAAAGTGCTACTGAAGAGTCCTCTCCAGCGCCCTTCAAGAGGTCACCCACCTCCTCAGCCCTGCCCTTTCCCTGCCTGTCGGTCAGAGCATGATCTTGTATTTCTAGAAATCAGAAAGCTGATAGAAAAATATGAAAAACCAATGTAGGAAAACACTGCCACCATCTTGGTCATCATCCCTTCGCTCAGCTCCAAGAGGTCCATGTCAGAGGCTGCTAGCACCCAGGGATGGACCATCTCCTGCAGAGACACTACGATGCTTGCTCTACAATTACAGCACTTATTAAAAATACTACGGGTGTTTGGGGTAAGGCAGCATTTAAAATTCACTATCAGGAAAGCTTGAAATGTCTCAAAAATGTAAACCCCCTTCAGGATAGAGAGGAGACGACCTCAGCTGTGGTGCCTGGTCCAACAGACCTGTCACCGCAACCGCAGTCACCGCACCACAGTCTCTGCCTGTGGCAGGGTCACTTCTCATAGGAGAGACTCAGAAAACTGCATTTTGCCTGCTGACGGTTCAAGCTGACTGGTTTTCCTTTTTTCTCCCTTTGACCAGAATGCAGGGAGAAGGCACGTTGTGTCAATCAAATGACAACACAAAGTTGTTTAAGCAAGAAATCGGATACCACCATATAATTAATGGGTATAACACAGCATAAATGCACACGAGAGACTGCTAGTCTCTGTGGCTTGTCTGAGTCTCGGCCTTTATGCTGAAAATGCTACTCAGAAAAGATCAAGAACAATTGCATGGGGATTTTTAATCAATATTTAACCTGACAATAGAATTTGGAGGAAGATCATCCCATAAAACACAAGCGCCATCACAGACTAATTGTATTTATTTCCTATTGACCAGAGACTCGCAGGCAGAGCACTCCATATCCCAGGAAGGTACTACATCTCTCTCTGAAAAAAGGGAAAGTCACCCGTTTGCCTCTGTGAACTGAAGAGCCAAACCTTTTGCTGGAGGTTGATGTTAAACATTGCCCTGTCTGTGCCCCTTTTGGAATATGAAAGTCATTTAGGGTGGTGTTGAAGTGGAAGACTCTGAAGCAGACGCACAAAATACCTTCTGCCTCTCTCCTGGTCTCACTCGCCCAAAATTCACCGTGGAGCTGAACGGAAACGTTGCGCAGACACTAGAAAAGCATCATTGGTTCTTGGCCAGCTCTTTTCTCTCCAGCTGCATAACCTTGAGCGCATGATTGAAGGATGCCCCTTTATGCCTGGGAGATACTGACATGAATGACAGACCCCAATTCCTCCCACAGCGAGGGCACCACGAGTCCTTGTTTCTGAACACCAGTATACTACACCCACAGCAAGAGGTCCTGCATCACGTTTTATAAATAGGCTCCTAAGAAACGTACTTCCTGTCCACTCACCTCAATCCAAAGCAATTATCAGAGCAAAGAAGATGCCTAAACATCAACACACCCCCTCCAAACGTGGACAAACCAGATGTCAGGGTACAGGTAAGAAGATCCTATGGTGCTGTAATGCTACTCATTAGATATCAGCTTGCTAACTGCCACAAGAGCCAAGTCCAGAAATACTTCTAGGTAGCACGCAACAAAAATAAAAAGAAATACGAAGCTTGCGATTAAAGATAAGAGGGGGGACCTACCAGGGGAGGACGTCTAGGGGGACAAGCACAGGCTGGCCAGCCCGCAATGGAGCACGATCTGGGGACTGCCCATGGTCAGGGAGCACTTGGGCTATGCAAGCATCACTCAGGCTGCTGGGTAACACGTCGAAACCAGGGGAAATTTCCTGATGCAAAGATGGGCAAAGCTAGAAAATACTCTCTTAAAGCTAATGGAAAAAGCTTTGCGGTTTGGGAGCGAACCTCCCTAAAGGTCACAGCCCAATTTTAGGTTGGAGCTCTGTAGTTTGATTGTGTGTCATCTGTTCCTCTTGGGATCTGATAGGAAGGACTCCGCTTCTGCCCTGAATTTCTTCGGAAAGACGAGCCGGCCTTAACATTTTCAGTTTATGTGGAAGCACTTCATAAGCTGAGCTGCTCATCAGGGATGCTGGAAACCTTCCAGCGCCTGCAGTGACTGTGCCTGGGCTAGGGGCTGCTGCTGACACGGGGGACCTGTGCCAGCGTTCAACCCTACGCAGCGCCGGTACCTCCCCGAGCTCCCAGGGCAGTGGATGGAGAATGCTTCCACCAGGCCCCAGCCCGAACTCCTGTTCCTGCGTAGGCAAGAGCAGAGGAACCAAGTGGCATGCTATTCTGCCTGCCTGGGTCCTCTCTGCCTTCAGAGGGACACCTGGGACAGACACTGCTCAGGAAGCACCACCATGCCGTGCTGGCAGTTATTCAGAGAGGATTCAGAGCTTCCTTTGAATCCTCATGTCACACCATCCATCATGGGCACCAGCAGAGATAGATGCTGAACAACCACGCCAGCAGCTGTCTTGCCGCCCCGGGCAAACCGGACTGTAAGTTTAGAGGTTTTGCTCAGTTCAGCGCACTGAACCGTGAATATTTAATGGCTTTTTGAGGTGCACCTATACCCCGCTCCCCCTCTTCTCGCTTCTTGCTGCATCCAACCGCGGATGCAGGTCAGGACCTCAAGCGGCTGCGGGGAAAAGCACTAAACATCTGCAGCATCAACGTGGTCATGCTGCATTTTCAGTGGAGCCACAGCTTTCCTCCGTGGAGGTTAAATCCTGCTCCCACTGTGTTTTCCCCTTTACTTACATGTGGCATTTATATGCAGAGGATGGAAACAGAGCTGACACACATAAACACCACAGAGGACACTGACATTTTGTGCACATTCCCTTTGATCGCGCCCATGGTGTGGGCACCGTCCTCTGTGGGTTGTGCCGCATCTTTCAGGCAGCAGGGACAGCGGCAGCATCTTCTTTTTTAATATGGACGCACAATTGCAAAACCGAGGGGAAAAAGGGATTATGTTCCATTTGCTTCTTGAAACAGATGTCGCTTTCCTCAGACCTGTTTGTTTTCAGGACTGTGGGGGCTTAATCTTTAAAACAATAATATTATTATAGTATGTGTCAAATGCTGTTTTCTAACAAAAGAAAATAAATGGCTTCCACTTTGTAAGCAAGGGTAACCAGTCAATAATATAAACGGCTCCACAAACGCAGGGTTAGCATCTCAGTCCAGCAAACGCCCACCCCGGGCAAACTCCCGCACGTGAACCTGAGCACACCGACCGCAGCCCAAGGAGCACTGGGGGGATCAGACCATTGCCCAAACCCTGCAGAAATACAAGGAAAACTCCACTTGAGTCCTCCAGGGGCTTGACTGTGCCCACAACAGCCATCAGAAAAATCACTGAATGACCTCAAAAATCTCCCTCGAGAGCAACCTCCCCACCAGAGGAAAGCAGATCCACCGCAAGGCCGGCCACAAGGCTCACCCCAAATTCAAACAGAGTCACAGGGCTGGCTTCTCTCCCATGCCGTCGTGTGCCAGTACAGCAGTCAGCTTCCTGAGCTACTGTGCCTGCCTCGCTTCAGAACAGGAAAACACAACTGAAAACCTGAAAGTCCTCAGAGAGGGAAAATCCAACTAAAAACCTTAAAAAAGTCTCACTTGAGCTGACTCTCTGTTTAGGGAACATTTGAGCCAGCATCATCTCTATATTTGCTAGAGAAAGTTATCACACCTCTGAACAGAGACATACAACTAAGAAAATCTCCACCACCTTCAGACAAACGAACAAAATCCCCCCAAGCAATGGAGCACGGGACCGCCAACCTCCCCGGCAGAAGTCAAACACGGTCGTAGGGACTCCGTGGGATCACCCCCTGAGAGAGGAACTTGTTGCCATCCTACCTGCAGAAGCCAGTAGCACCTTCTGTGAAACGTGGGGATGATGGAGGAGTGGACGTAGCAGCCGTACAAGCACTAGGGACAAAAGAAGAGAGAAAGCAGAGACAGGTTAGCAAAGGAAACCATCACCCAGGGAGGCAGTGACGGGGACAGCAGTGGCAGCACGCTACCTGCTACAGAGGATGCCATTTCTGAGGTCAGCCCAGGGCTGTAACACACAACACCAGAGTACAGCATCCCCAAATTTTGTTTTAAATGTCGTACAGGTTACAGAATCACTCTGCTAACAGCCCTGGCGCGTGGTGTTCACCTGTGGCTCAGCCAGAGCGGAGGAGCCCCGACGGTGCTCTGCATCCTGACACGGGACACTGACGAGGGTTTGGTTACCTGCATTTTGATCCTTGCTTGAACATATTTTTTTTTTTTAAAAACACAACACAAACATCTCTTTTCCATGGTTTATCACCTGGGTACATAAACTGAAAATTTAGGATTTGTAAAGTGAAAAAATTGCTGTCAGCTATGTTATACAGCAAAATGCCAAAATACATTTGCTGCTTCTTCTTCTTCCTAAATGAACTCTGCTTCTCTGATTAACTGAAATCAGTAAGGCGAAGGAATCAAAATCAAATTTCCAGTATGTTAAAACTTTTCAACACAGCTGTTGGTTGGAAGCTAAACCAGCGCAAACCAAATACACAAAACTGTTTTTAATTTAAAAGATCCCGGTACAATTCCTGTCCACAAGATTTGTTTATTATTAAGAAAGCAATATTATTTTCTGACTCTGATGACTTTTAATATAGTGCACATGGGGGATGGGTGTGCGTGTAATGATATATTCTACCATACTGAAGGTGATTATTTTTCCTTAAATGCGAGATTGCAACGGCACAGCAATCTGCTCACAGCTTTCTTCAGATATTTCCCCTGGAAGATCGTGAGCTGTGTGTATTTTAGGCACACCAATATTCTGCCATTACAGAAGGAAATAAAAAATCCAACTGCAGGGGATTTTTAAGGGGAATTTCTTTTTTTGTTTAACTCCAGCGACTGCATCAATTATGACGACTCTCATGATTAGCGTGCTCTTCTCTTCACCCGCTGGCAGCCCTGTCTGCACCCTACCGGGCGTCCTCACCAGGCTGGGATACAGGAACTGTCACCAAGCATCCTCCCAGCAGCGGTGACCACAGGACGGGACGGCCCTGGCTTCAGCCACGCTTCAAGCCGTGTTAGTGGGACCTAAGTGGATGGGTACTGGAAAAAACTTATCACTAAATCACCACCTCTGTTGTCTCGAATAACCTGTTTCTGCAGATTCGGC